CCAGCGAGAGCACAGAGCAGCGGGCAGGCAGTCGGCAGGCCGTCAAGAGGGGTTACCCCGAGCAGCGAACTCAGGAGGGGGGACGAGATCCGAAACGAACTCACTGGGGTGGCGGGGGGGGGGATGGCAAGCGTGATGGGGGCCCTGGGCAGGCTTCCCTGGATGATGACGATGCCTTCGAGGATGGTCTGCTGGTGGAGGAGCTGTCCCTGTGTGGCTCTGCACAGCACTTCTCCCACAGCGGGTTGCGGGTGGTGGAGCACCGGTGTGAAGGCAGCCCTAGCCCCAGCCCCAGGGCCAGCAGAGAGAAGTCACGGGATGTCTCCTCGTCCTCCTGGCCCCAGCACATTGCTTGCAGTACTTTGCACATGAGAGACAGTTGCTCTGTCTCATCGGGGGATCAGCCCACAGACTACGGAGGGAATGGGGAGCAGGCAAGTGGCCACGACTTACTTCACCTTGGTTTGCACAATATTGCACAAACAGCCTGGTTGGACTCTGGTGGGAAGAGAGAGAAGCCAGGGGGCAGCCCAGCTCACAGCAGCTCTGCTAGCAGAGAAGAAGAAGGGCCCGTGGTGGCCAACGGGTGCAAGGGGCCCCCAGCTCCACAGACAGTGCTCAGCCCTGAGCCCAGCAACCTGAGCTCCCTGGAGAAGACTCCCTGCGGGAGCAGCCAGCTCAGCAGCAGCAACTGCCCGGCCAAAAGGAAGCTGCTTCCCACCGCCGAGGTTGTAGCTGACTCCTGCTCTGAGGATGAGAGCCTGTCCCCATTGGCAAGGAAGAAGAGGATCCTGCTGTGCCATCCAGTGCCCACAGCCTGCCGCAGCACTGATGCCAAGGGGGCCCCATTCTGGAATCACCTGCTTCCCGTGGCCAAGGTGAGCATCGTTCATGGGGGGAGGCAGGGAATGGCCTCGTTGGCAATGTGGTCCGTCATGGCACAGCGCCCTGTCCTGCCCCAGTACCGCAGCAGTGGTGTGAGCAGGGCAACAGCTGACAGCCAGCCCTGGGACACTCAGTCTGTAGGTTATCACCAGCTCTTGACACCTTGAGGTCACTGGATCCTCTGCTTGCAACCGGCTCTTTGGCCTGGAGAGCCTTGCTCGGACAGGACATAGCCTCACCACAGCAGGAGTTGGGCACATGGCGTGGGGCCACAGTCAGTGTCTGAGAGCTTCACGTTGTCAGACTTACCGGCAGGCTTGGGAAGAGCAGCTGGCCTCCGTCTGACTGACGAGGAGGAAGGCAGGGGTGGGGGATGGCTTGTGTCCCTGGACGTGATACCCATCAGGACAAGGGTTTGGTGGTAGGGAGCAGGACTGGACATGCTCTGGCCAGGGAGTGGGAGCCCCAGTGCTGTGTGCAGAGGTGCCGCTGGCTTTTCTGCAGTTCTGGGGTGCCCGTGGCGTGTCCCCAGGGTACCACAGGCTCTCAGAAATGGGGAAGACTTCCGGAGATTTGCAAGTACCCTGGCAACTCACGAGCTGCCTGTGATTCCTCTCTGCTTACCCACACCTCCTGACCAGCTCCCTGCCTTCACCACGTCCTGCCAGCTGAGGCTGCAGCAGGCTCATGCCAGTGCTGGCATGCACCTTTCTTTCACTGGGGCATCCCATGGTGCAGGGAGCGACGGCAGAGCTACGCCGGCTTGTGCCGGGAGACACTGTGGATGGGACACAGCTCCATCCCTGCCCCTGTGCCCTGTCTGGTGCCTGTCCCCCAGCCCAGCTGCCCCCCGCACTGCCCTCTCAGAGTGAAGCCCTCCAGCAGCTTCCCTGGGTTTTCCTGCCTGGTCATGCCAGCCAGCTCCATCATCCCTTTGTGTTGTGCTGCCCTTTGTGTGGTTTCCAGAATGGAAAACCCCTGAAAAGGGGACATCTTTAAAAGGAGGCTGCAGTGTGGCCCTGGCTTTAGCCCCCCACCCTACAGCAGTAGGAGCCTGGCTGTGGGCAGGGGTGGGCAGCACGCCCCTCTGCCCGGCGGCACTGCCGAGGACTTGGCATGAATCACTGGGGGACGGGACTTTTCCCGGGCTGGTCGGGGAGCTTTATCGTACGTGTTACCATGCCCTGGCCGATGCAATGGGGTGTTGTCACTGGGGCTGGTCCTGAGACCCGCTTTGCAAGGTGGGAGTCGTGTGCTGCACCCTTGACTTGGGTACCAGCACCCTCATCCCCAGCAGAGCCATTTTGCGGTTGGGGCAGCCCCACATCTCCACCAGACATCGCAGCCCTCCCGCTGCCCTGCCAGCCACCTCTGCCTGCTGATGGGTGCCCGAGGATGGGAGTCTCTCCGATCTGCTGGGACACTTGTGGGGCAATGCGAGGGGTGATGGCACCTCGCAGGGATGCGCAGTTGCTGCCCTAACACGGTTCTCAATTTTGTGTCTCCTCCAGAGCTCTGCAGATTGCACCGGGGTCGGGAGGAGGCTGAAGAGCGGGCTGCGCCTCAAATCGTGAGTGTCCTGGCAG